GAGAACCAGCTTGTTCCCGACATTAGTTTGAATACTAATGTCTCCAATACCCACAATCTTCGAATAACTAGAATTCCCTATTCGAACAGTGCCAAAATCTCCAGTGTTGTACGAGCTGAAGAGTTCTCTGTGGGAAGTGGCGTGATAGGATGCAGCTGTGTCTATCAGCCATTCTGTGTAGCTATGGTTAGCCACGTGAAGGCAATCTTCCTCTTCACCAACTGCAAGAAGTATTTCATCAATTGTTGTGGCTGTTGTGTTCTCATCTCCTTTTGACTTATCGCTTTGGCCTTTCTCTTTCCAGCTTGGGCAATTTCTCTTTATGTGACCCTCCCGGCCACAGTGAAAGCAAGTGAAACTGGAGTTACCTCGACCTTTATTGTCTCTGGATTTACTCCTGTTGTTCCAGTAGCCTCTACTCTTGCTTCTTTCTCTACCTCTTCATTTACCTCTGTCTCTGCCTCTATCTTCTGTGACAAGAGCATGGGACTGATTATGGGACTGATTACCTCTCATGTCTTTCCTTCTTGTTTCTTCATTGTACATGGCGTCTGTGACCATACTCATGGTTAGTTTTCCTTCTGGTGTAGAGGTGTTAAGAGAAACCACCAATGTCTTCCAGTTGTCCGGTAAAGAACTGAGTAGTAGTACGGCTTGCATTTCATCGTCCAAGCGTATCTTGACAGTTGCAAGCTGATTCACCAGATTTTTGAATTCACTGTACTCGGCAATAGACACACCATTCTTCAACTTCAAATTTACTAGCCTTCTCATCACCAAGGCTTTGTTTCGGGTGGTCTTTGACTGGTACATGTCGTTTAACATTGTCCAAAGAACATAGGCATTTGTCTCTTCGGCAACATGATAGAATACACTGTGGTCTATCCATTGTCTGATATAAGCGATAGTCTTGCGGTTCATCTTTATCCAGTCATCATCTTTCACTCCTTCAGGTTTAACCCCTTTTATAAAAATGGGGTCAAACAAGTCCTTTAAAAACAAGATGCCTTCCATCCGTGACTTTCAAATTGCATAATTAGAAGGAGTTAACTTGAACATAGATTCTGAAGTTGATGTAGAAGCCTCTATCGTATTTTGTCTTTTTATAAAAAATTTAAAATGAAAAATCTGACCATATGGATGTGTTTGGAATACTCCAAATAGTTTAAAAACACTATTGGATCGTCAAAAACGGACTCAGAATGGCTCAGATCGGGCCAAAACAGTTTCGACGGTTATGATCTGCAGAATCTGGTGCGCTTGTGAAGCACCAGATGATTTCCCCGGTTCGACTGAGTCAACGGCTCAGTCAACGCGCCGGTAGCTCTGTCAAAACGGCTGGTCAGTGGTGTGAATCTGGTTTCGCGACTCAGCTCGGCGGCTCGGTCAACGACTTGGTCAACCTGATGACGTATCTGCCACGTGACGTTGACGCGACGATGACGTGGCACCACGCGGTCGTCTTCTTCCCTGTGAATGCGCGTGTGGCGCTTGGGAGCGTCTGAACTAACGCGCCGTCTGCTGTTCGGCGCGTGACGGAGCGTGGTACGAGTGTGGCTCACTCACTTTCTTTGGGTGGCGCATGCGGGCACGTGTGGGCTCTTCTGGAGCTCTGCTTTACAGTTCTGGACTTCTCTCATTGAGACCTTGCTCCTAGTATGCTCAAAACTGGATTTCGAGCAACTTGATTTCTGGGCTGTTTCGAAAAACACTCTGTTTTTGTTTCGAAACGCAACCGATTCGTCTCTGATACCACTTGTTATGACTATTGGACACCAGAAATCAATTCCACACAATAACACAAGAATATTTACGTGGTTCGGCAATTGCCTACGTCTACGGAGAGATATCCACTATAGAATTATCCCGGAGGGAGATTACAGAACGCACACCTCACAACTCTCTATAGAACTCTCACTCATAGATTATACCCTCTGTGTATTCTCTCTGTATTTGCTGCTTATTTCTCTCATCTCAGCCTCTGCATTTATACACATAAATGGTAGGTGAGAGCGTCCCTCTTCTTCTCCTTTCGGTGGCCGTCGTCGTCCACATTTGCGGCTTGTCGGTTGGCAAGCCGCATTCCTTGACATAGCATCCTGAGCTTTCACATGGAGAAGTGGTTCCTTATGAGCTGGAGCTAACATTGTCTTGCCTCCAAAACAAAACCCTCTAATATGTAAAGACAAACACATACATAGCTAAAAAGCACTTGTAGAGAGAGAGAGAGAGAGAGAGACCAAAATTCAATTCTAATACCCCTTTGAAACTGCAAGTTTTACAGTACTTATCCAAACATGATCACTCAGAAACTGTAAACTACCCATAACACTATAGGAATCTTTTTGAGTCCCCAAGTCTGTCAATACATTTTCCTGAGTTAAATTTGTCATTTTGTAAGGACACTTGTTCAAAACATGGTGAGAGAGGTGAGAGATCAATGTTTAATGTAAAATATTTATGATGTGCATGACATTCATTATCTACATCTACACATTTCAATATTGATTGAGCAGTCGAATTCAATTGAGATTTATTGATGGTGTTAAAAAAAAACTACTAAGCAAACTAATAAATTTTACAAAATTTCCTTACTTTCACGTGACATCTATTATATTATTGAAGTGTGTCATGTTTCAATTTTCAAAGTTACGTTATTTCATGACACATCACTTAGTAATAACACACTTTCCCTGCTGGAATCACTGTTTTTTCTGAAACAAATTATGTAAACTTGAATAATTTTATTTAGCCATTCCAACAAACCATTCAGAAAATATAGTAGATTCAAACTATATTACAGACTCAGAACACACACTCAAGTCTGTCATGAAATCAGTATAACAAGAAAAATTTTATAGTTTATGGGAGAAATGGTGTACACTCACACGTCAGAGAAAATTTTAGCCATTGATGCTGCCCATCTATTACACTCAACTGCCTGTGTCTCCTAACCCGAGCAATATGGGCTTGCACCTATAATATTGAAAAATAAATGAATAAATAAGTCAAAGAATCAGTTTACTCATGCTGTCAAAAATTGAAACAATTGTCTCTACCTCAAAAATCAGATTTTTCAGCTACATATTAGACAATGAGTTGCAAAGAACTTAAGTTATTAGGGACTGGGTTGAATATTGTACATCAAACTCTCTGCACTTGGGCTACATTTATTTCAACTAGAAAAAATGCTTAAACGAAAGATCAATCAAACACTGTCAACTGATGTGTGTATGACTAAATGAGATGATTGTGCCTTAATGAAGTATTAAGGTAATTTGCAATGACAAACAGTGCATAATGAACCACATCAAGGAATCCCAAAACCAACATGTAAGCTACATATCAAAATGTTAAAGAATGATAGGTTGTTTTCAACAATTTATCAAGCTTTCTGCTCTGTGAAGACAAAAGTATTAGAACTATGCCTAAACCATGTTTCCTCCCAAACCAAATACAGCCTTAATGTGATCACAGAATTAACATATGTACATTCTTCAGCAAAGCCAGTCGGTCAGTAAATGCATAGGCTTGCCCTCAAATTCAACTTATTACTTCTATCAAACTACACCAAATATCTTTATGCTGTTGGAATACTACTTACCCCACAAATTTGACATTAGACAATGGCTTGAATGGTTAGAAAATCACATGCAAATTTGATCATGGAACCAACTGATGCTTAGATTATGAACAAACTTGACACTCCTTATGTCATGCATATAGAAATCCAGCAAACATAAACAAGTCAAGCAAGTATAGGATACATCTTCATTGCCAAATTTCTCATTTGGTAGTGATGATATTGAACTAACCAAATATCATTTGAATTTCAGAGAAGGATAAATTAACCATAGTAATTAATGTAATCTTATCATCAAGTGAAATAACAGAGGCCATCCACTAAGGTCCCAGAATTGCGTCCACAATGTGCAGGTTCTGGTTCGTGTTAAATAAATTACCACAAAGTCAAGAAAAGCTTAGAGCAGCCCCACACAAGGGAGAAAAGGCTTGAAATAGAATGAGCTCAACCAATTGTGTACTATAAAAACTGTAAAACATAACACAAAACATGCAGCGGATAAAGTGTTTAGATCATACCTCATTTGATCTAAAACCTCGTGGATAAATCACGTGCTTCCATACTCAATCAATCAATTCCAGCAGTGGGGTGATATTACAATGGTGAATATCACCCACACAAACCACAGTGCAAATGACTTGATCGTTATTTTGGGAGAGAGTCAGTATCATGGGTAGAAACAAAACATACGTTGTTTCTCTCTTGGTTACCCATAACCATATATCAGATATATATTATATTTATCTCATTTATCCATTGGTTAAATGAGATAATATCTGATATCTATATCATCTATCCATATCATGATATGATAGATATATATCCTGAGTGGCTCATCCAAATAGGTTTGAATTTAAATTCAAAACCCATTTGGATGAGGTTCAAAAGGTTCTAAGGGTCATGCCACATGGGCGCCCAATTTCTAACAAAAACATATGCCTTGCTACAAAATAAAACAAAACCATATCATCCATACTTCTGAAAATATTTATACGTCTTCATTAACTTTCATCCATTTCAATGTGAGTGAGACAAATGAATGTGTCTATTATGCTCTGTTCAAATTGTTGTACTACCCACGGATGATCAGACGTTCTTCAACTTGCTTGGCATGTTTTCAAATGAAGGCTGGTGTATGCTATTGGAACCACAAATTGCAATTTAACATTACTGCGAAGTAGCACTTCAGAACATTTCATCTGTCTCTCTGCAACAATGTGCTATTGACTGTTTGGATTGAAGACTAAATAGTAAGGACTTATCATGATGAATACAACTCATATATTTGTGGAGCAGCCCATAATCTAGCTGTGTTACATATTTAACTATTGAGAACTGAGATCAATTAAACACAATGGCAAAAAGTGTTAGGTGTGTTATGACACCACCAAACATAGGATTCCACAGTATTGAATATTTTTTTATTTTATATTTTTGGCTTGAGAAAAGAACATCATTCATTAATACATATAAAAAGTAACATAGTTCAGGAAACAACCACCAATAACTTGAATAAGCCTTACAAACACTCAAGCAAAAAAAAAAAAAAAAAACCAATAGAGGTAACATATAGACCTTAATTGAGAACAGACGTGAAGCTAACGGTAGATTGACTAGAGGCTATCAAGTAGGCCTCTTCATGAGAAGAAGAGACGAAAGAAAATGCTGCAAACCAGGCTAAGGAAAAGGCTGCTGTGAGCAAACTCCGTGGCTGTAGAGATAATTGGCATAAATGAAAAGATTGTGCAAGATAACAACAATCCAAAAACAATGGAGCTGCCACCACCTGGATATATTTACTGCCCTTCATCCGCTGAAATAGAGTCAGAGTTAGTAAAAATATTAATATGCAAAAAATTGTGCTTATGAGCCCATTTAAGAGCAGAAACAGATGCCAATAGTGGAGCACAAGGCCTGTGCACAGAACAATCATAAAAATTTGGATTTAAAATTCGTTCAAACGTCCAAAAGTTTGGCGAATGGACAATGCCATTAAAATAAAATGTCTAGATATGTAGACTATTTGAACAGTGGTTTTCTCATGAAGTCTATGGAATGCTGAACCAAGTGAACAAATCATCATTTACTTGCAAAACTATAGCAGAGATTGCATATCATATGGCCTTCCCACTTTGATGTTCCCAGGACTAATAGGAGAAGCAAGCAACAATTCATTTTGCATATTCAAACAATAAATGAGGATTGGCCAACAGGATTAACTACAGAAGAATTCAGGTCATTTTAATGATAGTTTCAGAATTTGCTAGCACAAAAGTCATTAGAAAGCTAAAACAAGGCAAAGGTGGGATTTTCTTGTACTAAATTCATTGGAATATGTGATTTACAGTTCAATTGTGAAACTGCTCTTGATACTATTCTTGACTAGTTTAGAATCTGCAATTATCACTGTAACAATAAGTGAAAGCTAGTTGAATATGTTTAACTTTAGCAAATCAAAACCAGTCCACAAGCTTTTCTGCATTTTGAAGATTGTCATAAATCAAGTTTCCAAGTGGGTTCTTATGCATTGAAGAGTAGTAGGTTGATTTTTGAAAGGGAAAAGGTTGATTCTTTAGTTCTGTTTTTTGTCCACACCCAGCCATTGTACCCTTTGGGCAACCGGGCAGGAAAAAAAAATAAGAAACTTAATTTTCTCTGCAAGGATGCCTTGTAAACGTTGGAGTATGATTAATTATTTATGTTTTTCAAGAAGTGGTGATAGTAGCTAAGAACAAGATTTTACATACTAATTTCCTAATATCTCCATTCTATGAACAAGGACATGTTATTAGATTCATAAACAATACTAGAAAATTTTTTATCCTGCACACACAAACAACATAGGAGAATTGCTTCATGTGTTGTATGCAAACATAAAACGAGTTACTTCAATTGCATAAGATCATATTTCTCCAATACCAATTGAGCCATGAGATTGCAACAATGGCCACTCTCAGAACATCATAAGAATTTTTGAACGAAGTAAGCTAGTTTGATTTCATAACTCAGGATTCTTTTTTTAGAAAATTAATTTTTTTTGTTTTTACTGAATTTTTTTTAATATTTTAAGCATTTTTTTTTAATTTTTAGATACACTTAACATAAATATTCTTAAAAAGTATAATATTTGTAAAAAAAATCTTTACAAAATTCACTAAATACCAAAAATACAAAAAAAAAATCAAAATTCAGTACATTTTGATATTCTTATGTATTTATTGATTTTTTAAAATATTTTTTATAAATATTTTACTTTTTAGATACATTTAAGTAAAGTGCATCTAAAAAAATAAAAAAATTTGCTTAAAATTTTAAAAATATTCATTAAAAAAAAACATAAAAAACAAAAAATTTATTTTTAGAAAATTAAATTTAGAAAATTAAAATCAAATACTTTGAAAAATTCATTTTGACATGGCTTCGAATCATTGAAGTCACAAATAATCACCATTTTTTTCTATTTCATTCATAAACTATCATTTTCGTTTATTTTGTTCCTAAAGTTTTGAATTTATGTTTTTGTAGTCCAATTGGAGACAATTATACAAATGAATAATTGTTAAAACTTAATTTGATTAAAAAAAATGTTATTTGAGAATTTGAACATCTTAAAACATACAACAAAACACTAACTTTTCTTATTATTTTGAATAAATTACAACCTACAACCAACTTAATGGGTGCTTAATTGTATGATTTAAGTTGTTTAAATTATAAAATTACCTTCTTTTTTTTTCAATGGTTATTGATTTTTACAATTAGACTACATGAACAAAAATTAGAAATTTAATGGATTAAATAGACGAAATTGATAGCTTAGAGAAGAAATAAAAAATTAAAAAATGTTGATAGTTCAGAGATAAAAGTGAAATTAACCCTAAACAAAAAGAAGGAAAGGAAAGGAAAGGAAAGAAAAGAGAGGGGAAAGAAACAAAAGCATAGACCAACCATCCAACCTGATGTAAATGTAGGAAGATCCGAGAAACCTCAGTCGTCAATTCTTATTATAATATGATGGAAGGCACGTCCTTGAATTTGTAGAAGTCCTCTCCTCCTTCTCTAACCCTGTCTCTGAGTGCTTCAGATGAGTATTTAATATCCAATTCACGGAGGGTGGTAAGGAACCTCAATCCGTCCGGAATCTCCTTCAATTTTCGGCATCCACCAATCTGTAAATGGAAGAGACAAGGCATGGCTCCTTGTTCCACCCTCCACTCCTCCAAGTTTTCAATATTCCAGAGCTCTAAAGATATGAGTTTCGGAAAACCTCCACCATCACAGCCGCCATAGCCCCCTCCTCCTCCTCCACCGCTGATGCTGGATGGTCCAGAAGAACAAACCATCGCCTTCCCAATGTAGGAATCCTTTAATAAGCAGAGAGTCCTTAAGTTGGGGAACTTCTCCAATGTTGGCATTGGGTCTTCCTCTAGTTCAGTATGCCTCAACCATAACTTGGTGAGATTTGGAGGGAATTGGTCTGGCAATTTCTTAACGTGATTCAGGGACCCAAGTTTCTTAACGTGATTCAGGGACCCACCTAATTGCAATTTGCGAAGATGGTGGCATCCTAAAAGTTGCCTTAAAAGGCTTTGTTCTTCTTCCGTTCGGAAATCTCCTCTAATGCTGAAGGACGAATATTGGAGAAGGCGGTTTGAATTGTTGAGGATTGGGGATTTCAACATCACGACCAAATCTTTGGGGGCTACCTCAACACTGAATTTTCGAAGATTAATCAGTTTAGATAAGCATCTGACATCACACTTCCTTGCATCAAAGTTTTCTAGCGTCTCCAATTTGCTTAAACCATCCAATCGCAACTTACCTATGCAAGACAGCTTGATTCTTCTAGGAAGATATAGATGTCTCAAATTTTTCAACCTCCACAAGACATTGGGTATTCTTAAACTCCACCGTCCCCTTAAATCTAGGGTTTGGAGGAATCCCAAGTTGCCTATAGAAGAAGGCAAACTTCCAATTTCAGAATGTCTTATACTGAAATACCTCAAGTAAATTAGCTTTCCTATTGCTCTCGGAAACTTCATTCTTCCCCCAGGTAAAATAATTCTTTCCAGGTCTAAAACGGTAAGCAATGTGAGACCCTTCAAGAGTAATTTTAATTTTTGCCAACCAGAACTTTCCAATTCATGGCCAAAAGAGTAAAATTGGCATGATCGGATATGGTTGTGATTCTTCATTTCATGTCCAGATAGGGGAATAACATTTTCACTTTCTATAGAGTTGGCATCACAATCATTCAAATAGTACACAGCAAGTCTACGAACTGTTGTTAATGGTGATGATGAAGAAGGCGGCGCAGAGTCTGCCCACGCGAGCTGATGACCAAAGGCTTTAATGCGAACAATCTCAAGAAAATTCTCCTCTTTGGCCTTCAACAAGCACAAGTCTCTCATGAGATCATGGAGGCGACAAAGTTTGATCCTTTTTCTAAAGCTTGTTAATTCGACTTGAACCATGCATCTCTGGACTAACTCACCCAAGTAACTCATTCCAACATCCAACATTGTTTTCGCTTTTACTTCTACTTGTGTTGGGTGCATAACAATGCAAGTAAAGAGTGTTCATGACGATGCAATATAGGTGCACAAGGCAGTGCGAGTGAGGTGCACAAGAGAAGTGTGATGAAATGCAAGTATGGGGGCATTTTCTGTGCAACATGGAAAGCATATTCTATGCATGATTGAAAGCAAAGCATATTCTATGCATGAATCATAACGATGCGCGGCACACACGTAACAGAAGTGTATATGAAAGTGCACATTCTATGCAATAGAGGAACATCAAACATGTACTCTAGTGCCTCTAATTTACCTCTTAGAGGACTTTGCAACACACTTTGCTCGAAAAGGGGACACCCTGTTTACATTGGCGAGAGATAACATCTGCTGCTGCTTTAATTGCCATTCTAACTTGAAGCAGGCTTAAGCTTGGAGTAGAGGCACACTCATTCTTCGGAGCACTGACAAGGCCTGAAGAGGTGCATCTGGAGTGCAGTCTCGGAATTTGCCGAAGTTGAAATAGACTAAGATGCTCCAAATTTCCCTTTTTCTTTTGCTTTGCAGTCCAGAACTCACATAGCTTCAGATAGGTCCTTGTTTTACTGTTCATACTTACCGGTGGTGGACCCTGCAGTTTTATGAAAGAACAAATATTGTTTTGCACAAATGTGGAGAATGGCACAGCACTCTAAACACAAGATGATTTTATTTTTGAAATTAAGAAATAAGTTCTTAACCGGGTATTGAGCCTACGACTGAACACAGCGAGAAAGACTCAACAACGAAAAACAAAAGGTAAACAACCTAAACACATCGAGACATGCTCGGAACGACTCAAAGCAAGAATTGAGACAAACAAAAAAAAAAGGCACAACACAGAGACGTGTTACAAGGACGAGAGACCTCTCAGTGCACGAGGAGCCAGTTTCTCCGGGTATTATTTCCCACCCTCTCATTTGTGATTCTCACATCACTCGACCCTCAGGCTCTTTTTCCTCTCAAAACCCTTTTCTCGCTTTTTCTCTCAGCACACATCTCTCTATTTTTCAATCTCTCATTTTTTATCCCTCCCCTGGGTGGTTGGTGGATAAACAGAAAGTTGCGGGGTCTTGTCCCTAGCATTCCGCTAGATTCTTAATCTTGTTCACAACAGTGAGTTTCTTCCACAGAGGGGCTGCGCTAAAACTGGGTGTGTAGCAAATCTGCAGCTAGCATCGGTTGACGATGTTTTGCTGGGGAGTTTGGACGTGATCAGATCTGTCCCGATGAGGGAGTGGAATATCTTGGTCCATTCCAGTTCGTGCTTCGCACTTGACTTGATACCTCGTTGCTTGGAGGATGAGAGAGCTTTCAGCCCTTTTGTGGTCAGCTTCAGTGGTGCCTTTTTCCGGCAGGTAGAGTGTCCTTCTTGGCAAGTATGGTGCCCTTTCTGGCAAATGCATTGACAACAGGGAAAAGACAGGAAGCTTGACTCAATTGTGCCCCTAGTTCATTATTTTGACCATTTTTTGTTTTGGTTTTCTACTAAAACAATTTTGACCAACATGAGAGTTAGATTAACATGTTTGTTCGATTTTCTGATTTAAAATCATGCAAGTCAGGCTGTGAGCACTGAAAATTTTCCTGTTTTAGGTCCAAGAAATGGTTCAGTTTTGGGAAAAAAAATGAAATAATTTTTGAGAGAATTAGTCAACCTCAGTAAAAATTCTCAAAAACTATTTTCGCAAACAACCACTGCTCAATGAGCACGGAACCTACTCTTGAGATGCACAACCTTTGATCTGAAGGAAAATTGCCCCTTGCTTGGAGGACACTGCATGGCAACGAAAAGTTGCCCCTTGTTTGCACGGCACCGCAGCGCATTGAATGGCAACAGAAAGTTGCCCTTTGTTTGAATGGAACCACAGCGTATTGTAGTCAGTCCTCAGAGTGACGAACAGAACCAAATTCACGGATACAGAGAAGATAATGATGGTCAAAACCATTACATGGACATGATCGAATTCGAAGTGTTTGTGGCTAGACTTCAAGATGAAGTTGCCTACGTATCCCAAACATGGGAATCAAGCCTTACATAGTTCGGGTAAGGTACACTCGTGTATTAACCCTCATTTTTTTACGCTCTAACTTTTGCCAAGGCCGCCCTTCTGGGTTTTCAACCTTGCGAGCTTTGTTTTTCCTTCATTTTCAATTCTTTTTATTCTTTTCTTTTCTTTTTTATCTTTTCTTTTATTTTTTTCTTTTTTTTTCTTTTCTTTTTGCATTTTTCTCTTTTTTTCTTTTTCTTGCTCTAACTTTTGCCTGGGTCGTCCTTCCGGGTTTTCGGCCCAGCGAGCCTCTCAAGGGTAAAAGTGTAGCTTTGTCCATGTTGAATGGTTTGAGATCGTGAAGTCGTCTGAATCCAGGAGAACGGCTGTTGTTCGCTGACGATGCAGGAGTCCATCCAATGGGGGCTGAATTTGCCCCTAGTTTTATGGATAGGAACTTAGTTGTCCTTCAGCAATATCTTCTTCCTTCCTCCCTTCTGGGGTTTGGCATTCTTGCCAGTCTTCATTAATTTGCAGGATGATCCGTCTTCAGCTCTTCAAGCACATCTGGCATTTTTGCCCCTAGTTCCAGGGATACTTCTGATCTAGCTTTGTAAGTTTCTTTTGGCGATATCTGATCTCCTTGATCTGACTTTTCTTGCCCCTAGTTCGAGGGCTGCTTCAAATATGGCCACACAGGCCTCCTTTGATGGTTGACCATTGACCATTCTGCATTTAAGTCCAAGGTTTGAAAATGAGGGGTCGAGTCTCGAGGCTGAGAGCGATCCTAGGCTGCACAATCTCAAGAGTGATTCCACAGAGGTCTTCGCAGGACCGTGCAAAAAATTTTTTGAAATCTTTTAAGAAAGCGACTAATCGCTCGTGCTGCAGACGGTGTGGAACCAGTCTGGATCAAGCCAGGGTCCTTCTCTGTACTCACGCTGACAAGCATGATTTCAATCATTAAGGGTTTAGCACGCCTCTCTTTCTCTCAATTTGATCAAAGTTTGCAAAACCCGAGGAATTCCTTCCTCTTTGTTTTCATCACAATGTTCAAAAAAAGTTTTGAAAAACTCAGGTCAATGTAATGATTTCAAGGCACAGAAAAGACACAGCTTCTAGTCAAATACTTCCATCTCATTTTGAATTTCTGGCACAATTGGCACACGACAGATGCAAACACAAGAGTGTGAGAATTACTACTTTTTCATTCAGATCTGTTGGCACAACTGGCTTAAAGCAGCAATAAGTACAAAACATGACAGCCACAGCTGTTTCATTTAGATTTCCCTGTTGCAACTGGCTCCACGGCAGAAACAGACTCAAAAAGGAAGCAAAGAGACAAACACAAAACAAAATAGTGACATCGGAGGTAACATCCCCGGAATCACTTGACTCTAACAAAACAGGACTGACTCGATACAACAAGACAGACCCTAACTGACTCAGTAAGAAAAGACTGACTCTATACAAAACGACAAGACTGACCCAATACCCAAGTCAGAAAGCACAAAAACTAGCATTCGCAAAATGCTCAAAACAGTGCGTGCCATACGCCACATCCGGAGTAAACTAAGCGCCGTCCACAGGCGGTTCATCCCTCGATCACATCACATTATCCCCCACAAGTTCACTGATCAAGTGTCGATAGACTTTGCAGGACCTGGTGCGGGAATGACCCTATTGTCAATCAAATTTAGTATCTCGTGGCGGAGACGGACGTAACTGTCGGTGTCATGACCGGTTTGTTGATGAAAAGCACAGTACTTAGTCGGGTCATGCTTTGGAGGGAGAGGATCGGGTAGAGGCCGTTATTCCAACGGTTTCAGATGTCCTTTCCTGAGTAGGACCCCTAGAGCTTTAGACAAAGGCATATAGAGTGGGGTGAAAACCCTCTTGCCTCGGGGTAGATAGTCTGAAGTTCAGGGGTTTGAAGTGGATGTACCAACAAAGAGGGTGGCTACTTTTGGTGTGGTGGTGGTGACCATGCCCACTTCAGAAGATCTTGCAGCTGCATCACCGCTGGTGGTCGCACTTGAATTATGGGAAAACGCCCTCCTAGGCTACTCTTTCTCCTGGTCAATAAGGCCCTGCATCATAGCGTCCTCGATCTGTACTCCCATCTCGTGCAAATCTGAAAAGGTAGGGAAGGGGAGCATGATCATCTTCTACATTAGTTTGGATTGGAGGTTGCGCACAACCATCTGTATTTGATCTTTATCCGTTGGCCTAATGGTCATCATTGAGGCCTTGGCCCTTCAACGGGCCACGAATTCTGAGAAGCTCTCCTTTGGCTCTTGGCAGGTGACTTCAAGATCACGAGTTGTGACCTCAATCTGTGCGTTGTAGGAGTATTGATCACTGAAGGCCTCAGCCATCTCTTCCCAATTCTGTTTCACAGAGTTCTCCAATTTTGCATACCAGATTGTGGCTATCCCAGACAGGGTCCGGCCAAACAATGATAGTTTCTATAATCTGGTGAGGCTCATCAGCATTAGTATGTCCGAAAACAGTCGCAAATGCACCATGGCATCCCCAGATCCATCAAAGCAGTCGATGTGTGGCATCTTAAATCTGTCCGGCAGCGTCACAGCCGAGTCTGTATACCCATCTTCAATGTCAGGAATGGAGTGGGCCCCTTGAGACTTTTTGAACAATTTCTCAAGCTTGCTCACTTTCAATGCTGTGGGGTCCGTCTCGAACTCAAAGGGGGAGTCTGGTAGGTTGGTGGGTGTTTTAGATAGCTGGGGTAGAACCGGGGGCGGAGCTGGCCCTGTCGGAATGTCCGTATTTTCCTGGACATTAGCTGTCTCCCCGAGTGTTGGAACTCTTGGTGAAGGAGGAGCCTGGTGTGAAGTAGATACTCTAGTTTGCTGCTCTAACCTGGCAATTGTCTCTGCCTGTTGAGCTATGACCACAACCTGTTGCTTGGCGAATTCTGCTTGACAGACAGCGTCTTGCTGCATGGCTTTCATACTATCCTGGAGTTGGCGCACCATCTCT